TTCTCAGCCTTTCCTCCATCCCTCTGCTCAGCCCCTCTGGAGTGGCTCCAGCAGCTCCAGGTGCTCCCTGGGCTGTTCCCCAGGGCTGGGGCGGCTCTGCTGGGGGGGGACAGTGTTGGAAAATCCACATTCCCACTTTATTTTATTGCCCGGTGCTGCTGCACTTAACACTCCCAAGAATTCGAAGGAGCTGTGGGTCTGCCCCAGAAGTTTTACTGGAAGGTTGTTGTGCCACACAAAATTCCTTTTTCATGAAAAGATCACCAGCCCTGGTTTGGGAGGCGGTTCAGGGAGTGGCCTCAGCTGCCCAATTTCAGGTGACGTTCTTGACCCAGTGACAGAACTACTGGAATTTTGTCACAGACTTGCAATATTTACATAGTTTGTGCCCTCTGTGTGTCTCAACCATTAATGAATATTTGGGACTAACTTTGAAGTTCTTCCCTTGAAAGGAACCAAAGGAGAAGCTTCCCTGTTGTTGCCCTGCCCTGGGGACCCGCAGACAGACACACCCCGGTGCCTTCTGACTGTGGGATGAGGGGAAAGGAAAGATCAGGATTCTGATACTGTTTGGGAGGAAACTTGGAGTGGAAGGTGCTTTTTTAATGAAAAAAAAATATTTTCTAAACCCAATTCCATTATTTGTGGGCTCACAGAATGGTTTGGGTTTAAAGGGACTTTTAAAGATCTTCTAATTCCACCCCCTGCCCGGGGCAGGGACACCTCCCACTAGCCCGGGTTGCTCAATGTCCTGTCCAACCTGGCTTTGGATTGATCACATCCTGGAACTGATCACTTCTTCAGCCTCAATAATTACAGGATGCCTTCCCAGTTAATTTGGTTCCTGAATCCTTAAAAAGAAATAAAAAATGTATACAAATGAAATCCCAAATCTGTGTGGGCAGAAACTCCGCTAGTTGAACAATTTTATCCCTTCACAGGCAATTTAATTCTTGTTTTGCTGCAATCACGACATATTAAACTCTGCTTTAATGAAGGAAATGAAACAGAAATGGTTCAGGGCGCAAAAATTCAAGCTGCAGACTTTCTTCATTTGGTCAGCCAAAATTACCCCCTCAAATGACTTGACTGTGGTAGGAATGACTGTTTGCTGCTCCAAGGAAAACATTTGGGTTTCTGTGTTTGGGTTTGGTAACAAATAAACCCAAATTATGTGCCCTGTGTTCCCAATTGCTCTCATTCCTTTGCAGAGTTGTCTGAATACTCTTAAGTGGATGTTCTGGCCACCAATTGTGGTGCCAGGACACAAAACCCAGGCTTAGGCCAGCCCTAATTAGGCCAGGGACACAACTTGCCCAATGGCCCGTGTCCAACAGCAGGTGCTGAGTGGTTTGTTCCCACTGAGGAACATTCCAGCTCCTGGTGGAAAAAGGGAGGGAAAAACCACTCCCTGAGACTTTCCAGGAGTTGCTCTGCGGGTCAGAGGAGGAATTATTCCCAAAAATTACTTGAAAAAACAAACATTTTTAAAAACTCTTATGGTGTTGGGAATTTAAAGTACTTGGAGATGCTACAAAAGTTGAAGGGAGTGACATAATAAATATAAACCGTGACAGGGTTTCTGGAATAAAATGGTTGATGGTGACTGAAAAACTAAAAAATGGGTGCCATGGAGGGTTTGTGACCTAATTAGGCTTTTATCTAAAACAAAACTTGGTTCTCAATGAGAGGTTCAAACCAGACATGTGGTGCATGACACAGAGAAAAACACCAGGAACTGCAGTTGTGCAAAACATGCAAATGTTCCCAATCTGCAGCTCTCTGGGGTGAGTCTGGCAGCATTTTAATTTTAATTTGGAAATGGCCCTCAGACAGACAAGCCAGTGATTAAACTGAGAGGCAGAGGAGGAAAAACACATTGCTTTCCAAGCAGATCACCATAAATGTCTAAATTACCTGCACCAACAACGCCGGGCACGGACAGCGTTTGATCTCTAATTATGGCACAGAAAACAAGGCTCTGGGCTGGAAGGGGGATGCCACCAGCATGGAAACGGGGAAGGAGCATTGCAGCACCAAATCAAAGCCTCTTTCAGGAGCAGGGAGTGTTTTCCATGCAAGATGAGCTTGGTAAACACGTGGGGAGGGTGCCCTGGGCTGTGCTGGGCTCTATAAAAACCCGTCCAGCTGCAGGTCCCTCATCCACTTCTGCCTTCTCCTCCTCGGTGAACCAGGTGAGCTGCAGGAGCCTTCCCCTGTTCCTCTTCTCTGTCCCTTTTCTCTTTCCCCTCTGGTCTCAGTGCAGCTTCTCCTGAGACCATTTCTGTTCTCTCTCGTTCCACACTCTCAGTTCCCTGCCACTGTTCTGGGAGGTGGGAGAAGGTCTGGGGCTTTCACTGCAGGGACCCCTTCACTACCAAGTCACTTTAATGTTCCTTCCTCCCTGTTCAGGCACAGCCTGAACACCAACCTGTGCCTTTTTTTACAAGAAACCTGCCTCTCACGCTCTGCCCGTGCTGTCTCTGCCCTCTGTGCCAGGTCTGCCACCCCGAGCCATGTCCTGCTACGACCTGTGCCGTCCCTGCGGCCCCACCCCACTGGCCAACAGCTGCAATGAGTCCTGTGTGAGGCAGTGCCAGGACTCCCGGGTGATCATCGAACCCTCGCCCGTGGTGGTGACCCTGCCCGGGCCCATCCTGAGCTCCTTCCCCCAGAACACCACCGTGGGATCCACCACCTCCGCCGCCGTGGGCAGCATCCTGAGAGAGGGAGGAGTGCCCATCAACTCCGGGGGCTTTGGCCTCGGTGGCCTTGGTGGCTACGGCCTTGGTGGGCGCTACTGTG